CTACTTAAGGAAGAAGCTGATAACCTGGGAACATAATGGGGCAGTGAAAGCTCCAATCAAAGCCGCCTCTTCTCAAAGGTTAATAAACCAGAAACCTAGACTTAAAGAAAACATTTAAACATATCTGTCTTACGTTTACTCCGGTGAGCTAAGACCAAGTGGGGGTCCTTGACTTTAATTCTTCCCTGATTGTAAATTCCAAGAGAATAGTCTGGAGTTGGGACGTGCACTTTTGTTCAGTGCTAATGAGCCAAACTTAGGTGTGAAAGGGGCCATGTAGGGATCTTGGATTTCTGTCTGCACAAATCCCTGTCTAGTGGTGAGGAGGTGCCCCTCTCTCTTCCCATCTGCATTGGAGGAATCAAGTCAGAGTCCAGATCTCCACAGGTCTGGAGGCATATTTCTTTAAAAAAATTTTTTTTGAGCTATAATTTAAAAATCATACAATTCATTAGTTATGATTGAATAAGAAGGGTTATGCAGTCGTCACCACAATCAACTTTGGAACCTTTTCTTCTTTCTTTCTTTCTTGTATTCATTGACGTTGACATTCCATTTCCTCCACCCTTGCCTTCCATGCCATCAGGCAATCATCAATCCAGGTACAGTATACTCTCTAATTTACTAAATATGACACCCTGCTCTAGGGACTGGTCGCATCCAAAGTATGTGAGATGAAATCTGGTCATCAAGTTTTATGCTTTTGAAGAGGTCTTTTGATGAGCACAAACATTTAATATTTAGTCCTCAGCAGTCTAATTATCTTCGGATGCTTGTGGAGTTTTGGTTAGCTTTGACGGTCTGTTTCACAGTGGTCCTATAAGACAGAGTAGAGCTACTGGAAGTTTCTGGGACTGTAAGTCTTGCCAAAGTAGAATGCTTATCTCCACAGATTGGCTGATAGTTTTGAACTGTTGGCATTGAGGTTAGCAGCTCAACACTTGACCTTTATTTTTTTCTTTGCTGATGCTCATCGTTTTGGGGTTTGGCATTTAGAGGTTTCCTTCAAACCTATAGGTGGATGAATTTTCTTCTGAGTTCTCAGTTCTGTTGCACTTGTTTATCTTGGTAACAGAACCAGGGGTTTTGACTACTGTAGCTATCTATATTGTAAGCTTTGAAAGTTTGCTCTTCTGTAATGCTTTGCTAAACTGGGATCTCTTCTTTACCATATAAAGATAGAGATGGATTCTTCCATCTTCTTAAAATATTGATGAATATGGATCAGGATTGTCCCATATCTACAGGTTGCTTTGGGTGGTATTGTTATTTTAACAAAGCCACATTTTCCTATTCATCAGTAAGGCATGTTCTCCTCTTTTTGTGTGGTTCTTAGTTTCTTATTTATTTATTTATTTTGGTTCTTAGTTTCTTGTAGTTGTATTTTGTAGTATTCCTTGTATAAGTC